CCGCCATCCACTAAATGCGATGGACGGGCTAAGAAGGTGGAGCGTGGAGTCTTGCGACGTCTACTAAGTTGCCACGTAAAGGAGTGCAATTCGGTGTTGGAGTTGTGGTGGAATAGAGACCGGCGTTCACTCTAGTCGACGAAAGTCTAGCCAAAATCCTCATCAAAGCGAGATTCTTCAACATCTCATTCATATGTGCATCCAAGACTCTCTCAGTTTATAGCGTACATATTAGCTGAGGGTGATCGACTTAGCCGGGGCCCGAAACTTGGCAGTATTTATTACTGGGTTCTAGCATAAAAAGATCCATCATACGTACACTCCGAGGGCCAAACATCGACTCGCACTACTATATTGATGCATTCAATATACGACCCAATTTCGGAGCAGCAAGAAAGGGCCGCAACAATGCAAGGAAAGTTCAACGTTGAAAATCTGCAATCAGAACAGACGACCAATGGATTCGGCGCTCGACCCTCACACCTGCTGTGAGAGAGCACTCTTCAACAAACCGACTTGCGCGATCAGTGGAACCACATTTCCCGCTCATTACTGGTACGATAAGGAGTGTGAGAAAATGCCTGAAATGCAGGCCGACAGAAAAAACACCCGACATTTTTAGCAGAGTTGAGCGACTTACGGAAGGTTCCAAGACTCTTGTAGGAAAAACCAAGGCGACCTAGTGACCGATGTCCAGAACGTACTCAGATTATGGAGGAAACACTTTTCGACCCTTTTGAATGGCAGAAGCACTGAAAGAAGTGGAGAAGATGAATCCGAGGTCCCAGTCGATGACGATGGAGTCAATATCCCAGCGCCTGACTACGACGAAAAGTGTCAAAGCTGCTTGAGCTGACGGCCTGTCAGCGGAGTTATTTAATTACGATGGCAAGGAGGTAATAGGGTGCATGCCCGACGACTGGAATTCAAGTGCGCTCTGCCCAATCCACAAGAAAGGCGACCCCGCCATGCGTGCCAACTACCGCGGGATCAGCCTTCTAAGCATACGTTACAAGGTCTTATCGAATGTATTGTCTACCATAGACCATGTGTTCACAATACGTCAAATCTTGGAAAATACCCACCAGAAAAGGATCGGCACTCACCACCTATTTTTCGACTTTAAAGCCGCTTTCGACAGCACTAAAAGGAGTTTCCTATATACCGCTATGTCTGAATTTGGCAACCCCTCAAAACTCATACGGCTGTGAAAAATGACGTTGAGCAATACCGCCAGCTCTGTTCTGTTGCCGTTCGCCACCAGACGGGGTTTCAGACAGGGCGACTCTCTTTCATGTGACTTCTTTAACCTGATGTTGGAGAAGATGATAAGATCTGCAGAACTGAACCGCTCAGGAACAATTTACTACAAGAGCATACAATTGCTGGCTTATGCCGATGACACTGACATCATCGGTAAGAAAAACCGCGAAGTCTGTCCTGGCTTTTCCAAGTTGGACAAGGAAGCAAAGCGAATGGGTCTGGTGGTAAATGAGGACAAGGAAGTATCCCTGTCATCAAACAAACAATCAGCACATTCGCGCCTTGGCACCCACGTCACTTTTGACAGTTATAGTTTCGAGAAAGTAGAGAATTTCGTTTACTTGGGAACCAGCATTAACACCGATAATAATGTCAGCATGGAAATCCAATGCAGAATCGCTCCTGCTAACAAGTACTGCTTTGGACTGAGTAGGCAATTCACGAGTAAAGTCCTCTCTCGACGTACGAAAACCACACTATAAGTCACTCATCATGCCCGTGTCGGTATATGGCGAATTGAAATAGAGCGGCTCAACTGGCTTGACCATGTCGTTCGAATGGATACCGACGCCCCAGCTCTGAAAGTGTTCTGGTTTCACTTGGCATTTCCAATTGACGTCAGTTGACCAAAATCGCCTTGGCGGTTACAGCGCCAAATAAGAAGAAGAAGACGAGAATAGATCTATAACCTTATCAGCCACACAGTGTTATAATCCCGACGAAATCCTTGACGGTGGTACCGAAAGAGGACGGGGTTAGGCTTTCGATGCTTCCTCCCCGTAAAATAAACATGCTCTTACTGAGCNATCAGTCACACAGTGTTATAATCCCGACGAAATCCTTGACGGTGGTACCGAGAGAGGACGGGGTTAGGCTTTCGATGCTTCCTCCCCGTAAAATAAACATGCTCAGTAAAAAGTTAATAATTTAAATCGACGAATAGTTTCATATCAACTTTTGTGAACTTCTGTTTATTTATTTTTTGTACAACATATTTACCTCTATTGGTTACAATAATTTTAAGCTATAATAAAAAAAATTTTAGCAAGTAAGTTATTGGTTTTGAATTTTTTTTTATGCCCCTCCCCCTCCCAATAAATTTCGTTCTGGCTACGCCCATGTTTGCCTGTAAATACCGCCTTCTTAACTGAAAATTTAGAAGTTATAAGTTAATTTTAGTACAGTCAAGTTATTGTTGAAAATTAGTCATCGTCATTGAAATGGTCTTAGGTTGCTTAACTAATTATTTGGTTAATATTTATATGGAGAATATAGTGCTAGAGTAAAATATAAAAATTTCATGAGCATCCTCTAAATTTATACTTAAAAACGTAGGTTTTTTGCCAGGAGCTCTTTCGGCAAGGGTCCGTCCATATATTCGCCTGTTTTGAACCCCCCTTCCCTCACATAATAAATTGTAAGATTTAATTGATCCCCCCCGCCGCAGATCTTACGTAAGGTTAAAAATCCCATAGACATGTTTTTTCAATTAAACATTACAAAATACTATATAAAGCATTGTTCACCCAAAATCGGTACGCATAAAATGGGTTATATCTTTTTAACAGGTTTTCAGAAAATAATATTTAATATATTAAAATAAAGGGAAGTATTCCGCTATAGATAGATGTTAGCGAAAGTTTCACAGTTTGCTTGTATAAATAAAGAACAGTCTTAAAAACTTCATTACATAGTTATACTAGTCATTCTTTGTTGTCGATTTCTTTGGTTCACGGTCCAGCCAGCCAATCTGAAAGAGGAGCTGTGGCTACTCCTATCTCGTACTTATTTTTCATTCAAAGGTATTTCATTTTCACAGTCCACTGAAATTTCTTCTTGATTCACCCACTCAACAATATCCTCTGTTTCATTTTCTGTGATGACACGCATGAGCTCTCGCCCGCGTCGTGAAATTATCCTCTTTGCTCTTCGACGCTGAGGCTCAGAAAAGATTAAGTGAAGCTTTTTGTCAATGCTTAGGGGCTGTCCATATATTNACTGAAATTTCTTCTTGATTCACCCACTCAACAATATCCTCTGTTTCATTTTCTGTGATGACACGCATGAGCTCTCGCCTGCGTCGTGAAATTATCCTCTTTGCTCTTCGACGCTGAGGCTCAGAAAAGATTAAGTGAAGCTTTTTGTGAATGCTTAGGGGCTGTCCATATATTAGGTAAGGGAGTTTTCGCCAATTTGTGCCCCAACCCTAACTCGGAAAATTTTTTTGGACCGCTCTATTGTACATACATACAATAATTATTTTGTAACGAAAAAACGAAATCATTCAGCCTTATCATGAGTTTCATTTTCCCCGAACCGATTCACTTTTCACTTTTGGTTCCATATTTTTACTATGAGCGGATAACAAATTTTCGGGTGAATTTTTTTATCAGGCGAAACTAAGGATAAGGCAGATTACTGTTTTCAGGGAAAATTTGTTATTCTCACAAGCGTTCCTACATTCGTTACCTGTACCCCATACGATTCGCTTTTACACCACTGTAGCTCAAATTTCTCTGGGCTCACCAACACAATGGGTGCATTCAAAAACGTCAAAATACAAAGCATCAGTCTCTTTTATTTCCAAACCGCACTAGAAGAAAAAGTCTAACTAAGTCTAAGGTAAGGGAGTTTTCGCCTGTTTGTGCCCCAAACCTAACTCGGAAAATTTTTTTGGACCGCTCTATTGTACATACATACAATAATTATTTTGTAACGAAAAAACAAAATCATTCAGCCTTATCATGAGTTTCATTTTCCCCGAACCGATTCACTTTTCACTTTTGGTTACATATTTTTACTATGAGCGGATAACAAATTTTCGGGTGAATTTTTTTATCAGGCGAAACTAAGGATAAGGCAGATTACTGTTTTCAGGGAAAATTTGTTATTCTCACAAGCGTTCCTACATTCGTTACCTGTACCCCATACGATTCGCTTTTACACCACTGTAGCTCAAATTTCTCTGGGCTCACCAACACAATGGGTGCATTCAAAAACGTCAAAATACAAAGCATCAGTCTCTTTTATTTCCAAACCGCACTAGAAGAAAAAGTCTAACTTGCACAACCTAGTTTAAAACTAGCATCTAACCGTGGTTGCGCACATTCGGCATTACAATGTACATTCAGTTCAATCACTTTCAGTTTTGCCGACCACTGGCTTAAAGTCACAAAATCAGCATCGCTTGCCATTCTCTGCTGCATACTTACAAGCGCACGATCTAGAAGTTTACAAGACACAGAAAAACACTTTAAGCTGAGAAATTTAATCTCAAATCGAATTTATCTCACAAATCAAAGCTCTGCGTTAATTTTGCTGTTATAAAAAGTATTTTAAAACTTGAATTAAGTACATATATAAAAACTTAAGTTGTGTATTAGAAAATATACATTAGGCGCTAAAGCTTTTGCATTCAGACGAATTCAAAAGTTCATATAGGTATACATATATACAATGTGTGCATATGTATATGCATCTAACGAATTTTAACTTCACTGTTTATTAAACTTGGGAACTTCAGTTGGAGGCACAGCTGGAGGAGTTATCCATTGCTGATCAGTAACAATTTTGAGCTACTCGAAGACGGTAGAATTTGAAACATCCTCAACATTTTAAGTGCGAATTTAAACTTGTCGGCAATATTAAAAAGGAACATTTGTAAATAAGATGGATACGTCGCATTTGAGTTTGTACTGCAGCTTACTTCTCATATTTATCTACATTGTGGCTCCAATAGCTGTGGAGGTTCAGGTATGTATTAAGTATGGCTGACTTCCAAAACGTACCAATACAATGTTTGGATACCGTTCTACTGCGGTATTTGAACTGTTTGCATATGCAGAGTTGCGAAACATTGCAACCACATACATTGCATATTTTGAATATTCAATATAACTTTTCGGATGCGTTTTGGGAAAGTATACATTGTCAAGATTTTGTAGTACGACGTTTTGGAACATTATACTTTGTACGTATGCAATACAATTGACGTTTTGGAAGTCAGCCTATATGTATACGTAGATGTGTAAGTTGGTATGATTGCTTGGTACATACATAAATATATTTTAATTAATATACTATACTTACATATGTGAATAGTTATAAACTAATATTCGAGACGCCAACACCTTTGTTTGTAAAGTTTAGTTTACTTCACCTCGCCTTTCCGGTTAGTCTGTCAGTCAATAAAACACTTGTAAGCCTATTCACAACATGCATATGTACATAGTAGTGGGATTCCTGAAACATCGCAAAGTTGTTGCAAATGTCGCATTTGTCTCAAAATTTGTCACCTTGCGACACAGCTGATTACTTTTGTATGGAAACTTGCGACATTGCCATAGTATTTGAGCTGGGAATCATTGCAAAGTCAAAGTCGCGAAACACATGTTTTTTATTGTCTTAAAATACTTCAAGAAGAAGATATCTGTTAAAGCTGCTTCGAAATATTATATTAAAAACTTTTCTTTTTCTCTAACGCGCGGATTTTTTTTTAATTTTACATTTGCAATCCTGAGTTGCGATAGGTCGTTCATACAACTTTGTTCGCAATATTGCCATTTCGCCAAAAATGCAACTTTGCGAGGTTTTATGAATCGCACTAGTATGTATGTACTTCATACATATGTATATAGATATGTATGTACATTAGGGTGGTCTAAATATACACAGGAATATCATCTTTTAGGAATTTTATTGCTGCTACCCCAGAATAATAGAAATATATGGAAAATGTGGAGCTCCGTATTTTTATATTTAATATTTCAGCCGGTAAAAATAAATATTTTTTGATCCAATACAAATGTTTCCCTTCAGAAATCTTCCAACAATAGAATTCAGATCCAAATCTAACACTAGAATTCATCATAAATAAATTGTTTGAATATTTCTAAAAAAGAAGGAATTCATATTCTTATTCGATGAAAAATTTTTTATTTTTAACGATTTTATAAAAACTACAAAAAAATGTATTTTCTCCATATGAAATATATGGAAAACTTCCAAGACCCGACGCACAGTCCGGAAACTTTATTTCAGTCTAGAAACTTTATTTTCTCGAATTTTGGCCGCACTTTTGGAATTCGGCCGCACTGTGCGGCGGGACGATTACATGTGGACCGATTTTAAAATACAAAAATATCGGTGTCCTTATTTTAGATATTCTTCAATTCTGGGGGTTGGTGGACTACCCTAATGTACATACATATGTATGAAGGCACATAAGTATTTCTGACTGCATTAAATGGCCAGCAGAGGTAGCGTTCACTTTTGACCCAAATATTAAGCGGTTCGAAAAAAAGCGAACCCATAGTGGTGTAAAGCAATGCATGCAGATAAATCTGAAAATATTTCCACTTTTCGCTGATATTTTGGTAATTACAGTGATTTGGAAAATATTTTGTGCAGTGCAGCAGAACCGGTCTGCAAAATCAACTACGAATGCTTGGCCAAGTGACCACCAACCAGTGAATGGGGCAAATCGGTGTATGGATGGACGGCATACTTACATACACTCGTACTTACATACATACATACGTATGTAGCAAATTACTAAAAATGCGGGGCACACCTCTGAGCTCTTTCTTTTGCAAAACCTTATGCAACGGCTATGAGAATATGGCAAGCGAATTTCCCCACACTAAGCGATAATGGAAAGCGAAAGTGTAGTGCTTAGAGTGTAGATAATTGAATAGTAAAAATAATTTACGAGAAAATTTGTGAAATGGTGGAAATCAATAAGACTGTTTTTATATTTGCGCTTAAGGCTAATTAAGTAAGTTTGAGCCTGAGTCAAGTTTTTGAAATTTTATATTTATTCAAATCAGTAGTGCTATTACAGAGTGTTCAAATCAATTTCTCATCAGACTTCCATGAGCTAAGTTCGGCTGTTGTTGCCTTTTATAATTTTTATTGCCAACTCAACTATAATCGAAAGCATCTATTTGTAGTTGTTTATTATTGCTGATGTTCTTTAACAGTTTTATAGAGATTGGGGCCGTTTTTTTATTACTATTACCTCCCTTTTATTAGCTCGGGATGTAACTATGTAATATTGGTGCGCCTAAAAGATGCAGCGATTTCTATTCTCAAGTTACATACCTGGTGGCAGTACGAATGGAAATTATAATAGCGAGGTTTTAGTGTTTTTTTTAACTATAATTTTTTACTAAGAATTATTTTTGTAGATTAACTCCACCATTGAAAGCGAATGGTCTGCCCACTGAGCTAAGTTCGCAGTGTAAACTGTTGTTGCTTATTCCACTTTTTCATTGGTCAACTCCTCCACAATCTTCTCCTTCTTCTTTTTTGGTGCTGTAACCGCCTAAGCGATTTTGGCCGCGTTCAGCAAAGCACGCCAGTCGTTTCTCTTCTGTGCCAACTGACGCCAATTGGAAACACCAAGTGAAGCCAAGTCCTTCTCCACCTGATCTTTCCATCGCAATGAGGGCCTGGCTCTTCCTCTGCTACCACCAGCGGTTTCCGAGTTGAATACTTTCAGAGCTGGAGCGTCGGTGTCCATTCGAACGATATGGCCAAGCCTGCGGAGCCGCTGTATTTTAATTCACTGCACTATGTCCATGTCGTTGTAAACCTCATACAGCTCATCGTTCCATCGTTCCATCGTCTGCGATACTCGCCGTCGCCAACGCTTAAAGGCCCGTAAATCTTCCGCAAAATCTATCTTTCGAACACTCCAAGAGCCGCCTCATCGGATGTTGTCATTGTCCATGCTTCTGCGCCATATACCAGCACGGGCATGATAAGTGACTTATAGAGTGTGGTTTTCGTACGTCGAGAGAGGACTTTACTCCTGAATTGCCCAATCAGTGCAAAGTAGAACTTGTTGACATTATTATCGGTGCTAATGCTGGTTCCCAAGGAAACGAAATTCTCTTCTTTCTCAAAACTATAACTGTCAACAGTGACGTGGGTGTCAAGGCGCGAGTGGTGTGGTGACTGATTGTTTGATGACAGGACATACTTCGTCTTGCCCTCGTTTACCACCAGACCCATTCGCTTGGAAAAGGCAGAACAGACTTCGCAGTTGTTGTTACCGATGATGTAGATGTCATCGGCATAAGCCAGCAATTGCACGCTCTTGTAGTAAATTGTTCCTGAGCGGTTCAGTTCTGCAGCTCTTATTATCTTCCCCATCATCAGATTAAAGAAGTCACATAAATGAGAGTCGCCCGGTCTGAAACGCCGAACATCAAAAATCAAAGTAAAGCTACATATATCATATCCAAGAGTCGGTAGTTGGCACCTTTTCCAAATTTTTAGAACTTACATTGCACCGTAGCAGTAGTCGTCGTTTGAAATACTGGCAGCCGATTTCTCAGTGGATGTTTAATTATAATCAAAAGATTATCCCTTATTGTCATCTTCTCATTGTACTTAATATAAGATTAACTCACCACCACCTTTCAAAAGATTTATTAATGGTGAAACCTGCTTTTCCTGTAAATCCTGTAAAACCTGCAAATCCTGAAATTGGGTTGGGTTGAATCCAAACAGTTTGTTATTTTGCGAAATCCTAGGAAACGAAACAATTGCCAGCTGGCACCTTTGTAATAATGGTTTAAATTTAATTAATGCCTTCATTCTGCTCACACGTATGAGTTGTCAAAAATCATTGTTTTGAAAATGTAATCCTCAAGTAAATGTCAATTACACCAATTTACAAAAGTATTTATGAAATGTAAAAATCAGTACAAACTCAAAAAGCAGTAGATTTTGCGTACTGATTTCGGGCTCTTAAAAATCAGTACAATATAAAAAAGTCAGCACATGTACTGATTAAATCAGCGCATCTGGCCACCCTAGTACATATAAATTAGATACATTCATACGTGTAGTTAAAGTATATTCCAAGCGTACACTTTTCAGTAAAATGGTGTATCTGCATGTTATTTTATTATAATGATTGCGTTTATTTATTATATCTAATAAATGGAAAGTGGTCGTCTGGTGAAGACTGAGAGTAAAGAAAAGCAGAAAAAACAATACATATAAATTTTTTATTTCTTTTAAATGTTTCGACTTGCCATTATAAGGATATTAATAAGAAACCAAAAATATACACACGTAAATAGAATAAGAATATGTATGGATGTAGAAGAAAACTCAATAAAAAAAAAGGTCTCCCTGCAAGAACAGTGACTATCATTTGACAAATCATTTGAGTGGCAAGACTGATAGAGATTTCTGTCGCTGGCTACCTACATGTTTCTATCAAATTCTAAAGGGCAGTGTGAAAAATCTGATGTAAACATTTGTGTACAAATTCTTCCGTCTTCCTCCAACTTATGGCCTTATTTTATGGTTTCTTTTCAACAAACTCAAAAATTGCATATGTGTTAGTAAGATAAATGAGAATGTGTTAGTTTCCATCACACCCCTGCAAAAAATTGTGCGACTAATCTCTAAAGAGAGTATTCCGAGATTACTCTCAATCGGGTACAATTGGGCATTAATTAGTCCTAACGGGTACTAATGGAGGTCAATTAGTCTCGATTCATCCCTTATGGGTATAATTGGAGATCAATTAGTCCCCAACTCATCTCTAACGGGTACTATTAACGATTTAATGATATGTACGCTCTTAGTCAATGAAATTTCATGTGCGGCGTTGGCACACAGAGAGAGTATTCACCTAACAAAACTGAGCATCCCGGTTCGAATCTCAGCTGGCGAAAATTTTTATTTTTATTTTTTAAGTGACTAGTCGCTTTTTATACCCTTTCGGGTAT